TTAATTTTTTAGTGAAAATATATTTTTTTTTCTAATTTTATAAATTTTTGTAAAAAAAAAGACACATAGTTAAAATTGTGTGTTGCTTTAAAAGAATATATGCGATATATTCCTAAATTTGTATAGTGTTATATATTTTTTGGTATGTAATAAGCAAATGTGTACAAATTATGGAAAATGCATATTTTACAAAAAATTGAATATGTATAAAAAATTAGCTAATCGAAAATATTTTTGAGCATCCATGAACATCCAAAAATTTCAGAAATTGATATAAAATAATTATTCGGCGGACACATGTCGCTCGTGTAAACGCAATCAACGGCAGCAAGAGAATTTTCCGATAATTAACAGCAAAAAAATTCTTGTGTGAACACAGCCTAATTCAACGTTCTCTGGTATAATTAGATGCGAGTGAGTGAGTGGTTTAAGCAAGTTTCTTATACATAAATATACATATATTTTTCATCCGGAAAAGTGTTCAGTTGTTCCAGTGTAAGCTGCAATATTTGAAGGTCAGTGAGTGGCGCTTGATTAAAAATTCCTAAATTTCATCAAAAATTGGCAAAATGTAATTCAAGTACAATGTCATGCGTGTTCATAGCAAATTTGATCAAATTCGCCGATATCAGAAGTGGAGAAGAAAAAAGCTACCACTTAAACTCTTATCTTAAAATTGAAATTTTATTAGTGACAGGTACTTGAATTTAGACTATTTTGATGTCGGTATGCATTATATTTTTCATTTGTTTATATACATATGTATGAGCGTCACAACATATAATTTTAGGTAATTTAATCAAAGCCAAAAACAAAAGCTAAACTTCGGTTGCAATGAAGCTATACCCCTCACATACATATATACAAGTTTACACACGAAGTATCACTTGACTTTGATCGGTCAGCTTTTTTTATCAGCAACAAATATGCGATAGTGCTTCAATCTGAACAATTTCTTCGCAGATTTGAAAGAGCTTTGCATAATAATACAAGGTGCATTCCACAGTACACAGGACTTAAAAAACAGAACAAATGTTTTTTTGGCAAAATCAATTTATTTATTTTATTCAAAATAGTCTAATTCTGCTTCAATACAGCTTTTTGCACGGTCCAGTGTTTTAGCTCGTTGGCCGGTATAGGCGCCAGTATGCCGGTGCAAGCCTTTTGAATTGCCTCTACGTCTGCATAACGCTTTCCTTTCATGGGCAAATGCATTTTTCCGAAAAGGAAAAAGTCGCATGGTGCCATATCAGCTGAATACGGGGTGTGGTTAATGGTTAAAATGTGATTTTTGGTCAAATAATCGTTCTTCGAATATTGGATTCTGAGCAATGTTTGGTCGTCAGTCCATTTGTGCACACACCTTTCGTAAGCCCAAATGTTCAGTCAAAATGCGATAAATCGATGTTTTGGAGATTGTTCCATTTCCATGAATTTCCGGTGATCACAGGTTTTGATTGGCCCACATGTTGATCCTCATTTATGTCCTCATGACCACTTTGAAAACGTTGAAACCACTCGTGCACTCTGCTACGGGATAGGCAATCATCGCCATAAAATTCTTTCACCAATTGAAACGTTTCGGTAAAAGTTCTACCAATTTTAAAACAAAATTTAATGTTGGCTCTTGGTTCGAAGCTCATTTTCGCACCCCTAACACAAACATACTGACACTTAAAACGCAATAAGTTCACTTCCAATCATTGAAATGTCATGAAAACTCACTGGACAATCGATAAAGATAGCAAATTCTAACGCACCAGTCGACATATAGGTTGGCGCTAGATTCAAAAAGTCCTGTTTACTTTGGCGCACACCTTGTAGAAGACGTGAAAAAAGTTTTCCATACAAGAACTTTATTTTGATCCTTCAGTTTGCTTAGTAGTTATATATTATATTAGTCCAATATCGGCGGTTCCGTCAAATCAGCTGCTTTTTGGGAAGAAATAGATGTGACAAATTTAAGAAACCCTCTTCAATACCTATTCAGCGTATAACAAGATATAACTTTAACTTTTCACTGATTGTTGAAATTGTGAATATTATTAATTGCTATTGTTATTACCACTTTTTCCAGGATCACCAAAACCTGCATTAATCGACGATGGGGTTCTTCGTTTGTTTTCCATGCGCTTCTGCCCATATGCTCATCGTACTCACTTAGTGCTAAACGCCAAAAACATACCATATCACACTATATATATCAATCTTACCGAGAAACCAGAATGGCTTACCGAAGTCAGCCCACTGGGTAAAGTGCCGGCATTACAGTTACCCAAAGAGGAAGGCAATCCATCCTTAATTGAGTCACTAATAATTGCTGAATATCTTGATGAGAAATATCCCGAAGTACCACTCTTCCCCAAAGATCCACTAAAGAAAGCACAAGATAAGATACTTATCGAGAGATTCAACGCGGTGACTAGTGCAACGTACAAAATGTTTCACGCTGATACTGAAGCGGGACCCGATGCACTAACTGAAGTCTCTAAGGGTTTAGATATTTTCGAGAAGGAGTTAAGCTCTCGTGGTACACCTTACTTTGGTGGCGACAAACCCGGCATGTTGGACTATATGATTTGGCCATGGTTCGAGCGTACGGAAATGTTGAAACACTTGCTGCCAGGGAAATTTGAATTGGATAAAGAACGCTTCAACAAATTAGTAAGCTAAATTTATATTTTCAAGGCATTGAATTTATATGAAATATTATATATTTTAACTCGTTCTAGATTGCATGGCGTGATTTGATGGTAAGCGATCCAGCAGTGAAAGGTCATTATTTGGATGGTGAAACTTATGCCAAATTTGCGAAAGCGCGCCGGGGAAATGTTCACGATTTTGATATGCTTGTATAGGCCTCATCATTGAATGAATGTACATACTAGTAATACACGAAAGTCAAAGATATTATCAATAAATTTATTTCTTGTAACCTAGTAAAAACTTATTTCGGGCCGAAGCTCACCCTACTTTTTATACCCTGAACAGGGTATATTAAGTTTGTAACACCCAGAAGGAAGCGTCGGAGACCCTATAAAGTATAAATATAAATAATCAGTATGTTGAGTTGAGTCGATTTAGCCATGTCCGTCTGTCTGTCTGTCCGTCCGTCTGTCTGTATATATACGAACTAGTCCCTCAGTTTTGAAGTTATCGTTTTAAAATTTTTCAAACGTCATTTTCTCTTCAAGAAGCTGCTCCTTTGTCGGAACTGCCGATATCGGGCCACTATACAATATAGCTGTCATACAAACTGAATGATCGGAATCAAGTTCTTGTATGGAAAACTCTCACATTCGATGTGGTAACGAAATTTGACGTGGATTACTGCTTAAGGAAATAATGTATTCTCCGAAAAAATTGCTCAGATCGAATGACCATAGCATATAGTTTTCATATAAACTGAGCACATAGTTACTAAAAGAAATGCACCTGTGTAGGGTATATTAGCCTCGGTGCAGCCGAAGTTAAAGTTTTTTCTTGTTTTCTACTTGTCATTAACTGTTGCATCCAGTTATCGCTAATCTATTAGAGGTTAATTTAAGGTCGTAGTATCTAAGACTGATCTATATCTCATGTGGTCCTCTTCTCTCTCTCTCTCTCTCTCTCTCTCTCTCTCTCTCTCTCTCTCTCTTTCTTATGCCATATTACCAACAGAAGTATTAAATAGTGCTTCGATCTGAACAACGTCAATGGCGACCGTTATCAAAATCATGTTATATGATACCGTTAGACTTTTAGCTGTGGGAAAATGTACAGTTAACAGTCGAAATGCTCGAACGAGACATCGAAAATTGGACTCAACAGACTGACCATCTGGGACGGATCCGCGGCCAACATTTGAAAGATAATGTGCAAAAACTAAATGCCAAAAAATTTGAGGATTCTGTAGTATTTGTCTTTAAAAAAGTAGGGAACCTTGAAATGGATCACCCTTTATATAAACAACCAATTCGGATTTCGTTCAAACTCAAGGCTGGACCAAATTAAAATTTTCTTCAAAATGGTTTTAAACCAAACAGTGTGGCATATTTTAGAGTGTTGTAAATCTAAGCAGAAAACCCAGATGTGGCCCGGACTTTTTTCTTTCCTGGCCTGAAAAAGCCGATGAAAGCGGAGCCAAACAGCATGCACCTTGGCTCTCAAGGTTATTCCGGAGAATGCCTTCCATGACTCCTTCAATGCTTGGAAATCGCGCTGCATCGACTCTGAAGAATATTTTGAAAGTTTTATAATTCTTTAACGATTGATTCAATATTTTTTTTTAATCGACTCAGTCCTATTACTTTCGGGACAAACAATGTATTATTTTAATTTGTAACAACAATTTGTCATTTGAGCCATTCTCAATGGAAAAGCTGGTCCAAAATGTGTAAAACAAACCTGGTGGCACTGGACTTATCGGTTATAGAGCTTCAGTAAGTATTCAGGTACTTTCTTGTACGAATTCTACTAAAAAAATTGTTGTTGCACGTCAGGATAGCGAGCAGAGTCATGACGAACCGAAGACAACTACTAATACTCTATTTTACACTTCTAAGTCAGCAGCCACATCGGAAACTTTCATGCTGTAGAGCCTCAGTTTTGATTTGAAATATATATTTTACCTAGAAAAAACAAATGTACCTTAGTTTTCTTGTTTCCTGTAACGATGTCAGCAGTATTCAGCGTCGATTTCACAACTTCCTCATTCCTAAAAACCGTGATCCAAACGCTTTGTTAACTTCCTTTGAATGCGAATTCAATTGCAAATATTTTATACTTTCATTAAAATAAGAATTTGTAAAGCCTCTAGTTTATTCACTAAAATTTTAAATTAAGTTTAAAATCACAATATTCAATTTTTACGCCGAGCCACTTCTTTCCGCTAACCAAATATATAATATGTCATTACAGGAAAGAGCTTTAAGCGTCAAACATACGGAAGTGACTATAAAAAGGAAGCTTTCGCGAATGACGTATTAAAACATGTGTTTGAAATGAACTCAAAGCATATCGAATGAATACAAACAAGCAACACAGGAACCGTTCGTTGTTTATATAAACTTGTTGTTGAGCTAATATTGCTCAGTTGCAGATTAAACAATCGAAGAGGGTTTTCCAGAATTAATCATAATTTCTCGAACTTTTAAAGCGATAATATATACAATGAGCGGTGGCAGACATTTAGCTAAAGGTTAGTATAATTTTGCTTCGATGAAATTCGAAGATATCAAAATGGAATAAGTGACTGGTAGTTGTAATATTTGTATGTATGTGTTCAGTGTTTTGATTACTTCTTTACTATTTTCCATGTTTGTGTGTGCATAACAACGTTCAATTTTAGTTAAATGTTACTAAAACAACACATAATTTTTGGAACTACTCATTATAGAAATTGTGAATTATGACTAATAACTTTTAAAATTACCATTTAGGCTCACCAAAACCCACATTACCCGACGATGGCATTCTTCGCTTGTTCTCCATGCGCTTCTGCCCATACGCTCATCGTGCTCACTTAGTTCTAAACGCCAAAAACATACCGTATCACGCCATATTTATTAATCTTACCGAAAAACCAGAATGGCTTACAGAATTCAGTCCATTGGGTAAAGTCCCGGCACTTCAGCTACCCAAAGAGGAAAACAGTCCAGCCTTAATTGAGTCACTAATAATTGCTGAATATCTGGACGAGAAATATCCCGAAGTACCACTCTTCCCCAAAGATCCACTAAAGAAAGCACAAGATAA